AGGCAGGCCTCTATCACTTGAGCCACTCCACAAGTCCTTTTTTGTGTTGGGTATTTTTGAGATAGGGTCTCCCAAACTATTTGCCTGGACTGGCTTTCAACCACAGTCCTCTTGATCTCTCTATCTCCTGAGTAGCTAGGATTCTTAGGCATGAGTCACTGGTGTCCTGCCAAAGAGAAATTCTTAAGTGAATCTTAAAAAGAATTGAGTGAGAAATGAAGACACGATCACAAGTTCAAGACCAGTCTGGGGTACAGAGACACACCCCATCTCAAAAGAAAAGAAAAAAGAAACTTGATACCAATGGTGACATACAGACCAGCTACTAGGGAGGCTGGTGTCTGAGGCTGGAGAATCTTTGAGCTCAAGAGTTTGAAAGAAAGAAAGTTAGGGAGGCTGGGAAACTTAACAAAAAAAAGATAAAATTAAGTCTACAATGTGCCAAAGAAAGAAAACAATATAGTTCAGATTGAAGCAAAGAGACAAACAGTAGAGAAAATGAAACCAAAATCTGGTTCATTGAGATCTATAAAGTTGACAAACACCTAGCCATACTGATCAACAGGAAAAAAGGAAAAGAGACATACTACCAATCTGGGGAACGAGAGAGATGTTATTACCAATCAGATTTTAAAAAAATCAGAGTATTATGAACTTTATGCTCATAAAATCGTCAACTTAGATAAAATGGTCCATTTTTTTGAAAACCAGAACTACCAAAGCTCGCTCAAGAAGAAATATGTCACTGGAGTAGCACTGTATCTGTTAAAGAAATGGAGGTTGTAATTCAACCTTTCCACAAGGAAAATTCCATTGCAGAAGAACAGTAAAAATATTCTTTTGTCTTAACCTTCAAACTGAACTTTACTCTGATACTGACTCTGACAGTGTAACTTTCTTACTGACCCTGACTTAACCCGATTTTTAACAAGCTTAAAATTGGCCTTGGCCCACCCATCCTCACCAGGACTCTGAAATTACCAGTGACCCTGCATGCACCCTGTCCTTAATCTGACCTTGGATTAACCCCAGTCCTAAACTACCTTGACTCTAAACATTTTCCTGGCTCTAATCCTGAGGGTGAAAATCATACCCTAACTCTAGCTTTGCCTCGGAACCCACGTATAAATCATTTTCAGATTGACTCTGAACCTCAACCTTACTCTGTCCCTAAAGATAAATTACACGGTGACAGTGATTACAGTTACCCAACCTGAATTTGAAATTGACATGGAACTTGAGCATCGCCCTGACACTGAACCATAACAAAGCCCTGACTCTCACCTTGAACCTGGCTCTCACGGGTTATGTCATCAACCTTGACTGCTCTGGAACTAGATTTAGAACCTAATCCTGTTACTGAACTTCATCTGAAATTGTCAGTCCAGATACTGACCCACCTTGACCTTCAGCCAACCCTATCCACACAGACTCTTAAGTATGACTCCACCCTATTCTTGAACTTGACCACAGCCCTAGCCTTTCCTCCATCTTTAGACTTATACGAAACCTGACTCAAACTGAAATCTGACACTTAACCTTATGCTTAACTTGAACGTCTCTTAACCTAAGCTTGATTTAACCTCAAGCTTAATTCTGACTTTATGACCCTGACATACACATGCCCTCACCCTCACTAAATGCTTTGCCGGACTATGACATATTACTGTGACCCTTGCTACTACTTGGCCTTGAATTTGACCAGAACTCTGAAACTGATGACTCTCACCCTGATCATAGCCCCACTCTCACGGACCCTGACCTTTCACCTCACCTGACCTAGAATTTAACCTTGTCCATGTACGTCACCCTGAATGTAATAATGAAACATCTCTCATACTGATCATGACCCTGAATCTGACACTATTCTAGAACATTACCCTGAATGGAACATTTGCCTTCAATCTGACTTTAACTCTCAATCTCAATCGTCCCCTGGACTGAATCCCCACCTAGACAATGACTATCATCCTGACACACTCTGACCTTTGACTTGAGTTGTACACATTCATAAAACTAAGCTGTACTTTGACCTTGGGTACTATACTGACATTGACCTTGACTCAACTTCATCATGACCTTGAATGGATGCTGACATCAACTTCACATTGAAACTGAACCTGACCTTATACTGACTCTTCCTGCTTGTGACCCTCAAAAACACTGACTCTGATCATTACCTCTCCCTCACCCTAACACTGATGCTCAGGCAGAACCAAATTTCACCTTTAATCCACCTTAATTCCATCAAGACCTTGAGCTTGTTTTTGAACCTGGAGTCTGACCCTGAAATTGAACTTCATCCTGACATTGACCCTCATTATTATGCTGACCCTCCATCCTGAACCTGTTCATCCTAGTCCTGGTTCATTCTCACATTGAACTTGAACCTGACTTTGTCCATAACCAGACACTAACCTTCACCTTGACACACCAAATACATCCATGTTGTATGTAACTCACAAATATGTTGCCTCATAAGGTGACACAGCTTGGCATGGTTTGAGTGTGCCCCTCAGAGGTTCATGTGCTATAAGCTTGGTCCCCAGCATGGTCATGTTGAGGTAGTATAACCTTTAAAAAGTAGGGCCTAGTGTAAGGTGGTTAGGTTACTGGCCAGGGGGGAGGGGTTTGCTGCCCTCAAAAGGCATCAATGTAGCTCTTGTAGGAACCCACATAATTCCCATGAGAGCAAAGCAAATTGCTTTTTTTTTTTTTAAAGGAAGTCTGGCCCCTGAAACCTCTGGCTTCCTGTCTTACCACTTGATTTCTTTCACATGTTTGTACCATAATATTGAGGTCATCACCAGATAATGAACAGATGGCACCACCTGATCTTGGATTTGGGGGTCTCTAAAACTATGAGCTAAATAAAAGTCTTAAATTTTACTGATGTGGTAAACAGTACAGAGCTTGAAATGGAATAATAGTCTGGATTATACAGGTAGGCCCAATCTAATCACATGTAGAGAACCTTTCTTGGCTGCACTGAGAAAGAGATGAAGTGGAAGAAGGAGAGGATCTTAGTCCATTGGTGACTTTGAAGATGGAATTAGGAGACCGAAAACCAAAGAATCCAGGTGGCCTCCAAGAATTGGGAATGGCTGACCACTGGTAGTAAGGAAATGGAAACCTCATTTTTTTACTTTGTTGCCCAGGCTGGCTTTGAACTCTGAATCCTCCAGCTCAGCCTCCCTAGTGTCGGGATTACAGATATGAACCACCATGCCTGGCTCCTGGAAACTCATTTTTATTTTTATTTTTGGTGGGACTGGGGTTTGAACTCAGTGCTTCATGCTTGCAAAACAGGCAAACAGGTAGAGTTACCACTTAAGCCAAACTTCCAGTCCTAAAAACATTGTTATTAGCAATAACAATATAGGGGTTTAGTTGTGACATTTCCATACCAACATAAATGGTCTTGAGCTTGACAATGTTTACCCAGGTCAGGGTGAACAACCTCAATGCTGACCCTGACATTATCTTCACACTGATCTTGACTGAATTTAGCATGACTCTAATCCTGAACATCAGCTTCATACTCACACTGTACATTTACCATCAACTCTGAACCATGCCTCACCTGACAGTGGCCACTGTCTGACCCTTTCCTACCCTATCCCTGAACTTGGCTTTGATTACGAATTTGACCTTCATCATGTCACTGACCATGACCTCCATACTCATCCTGACCTTAACTTGATCTTAAACTTAACTTTGGCCGTAAAACTTCCTTCACACTGATTTTGACCTTGAATATGATTTTTATAACTATGACCTTTCTCACCTTGATCCTTCACCTGCTACAGACTTTTCCCTGACCTGGACACTCAACCTCACTTTGATTCTGATCCTCTTCACTCTGCTCTGATCATAGTTCCTACTGACAATGACTGTGACCTTGAAAGATTTAGATCTTGACTTTCACCCTGAACTCTATCCTTAACTAAATCTCATCTGAACTTCGCCAGGGACAGGACCAAGATAGAGTAATGTCTGGGATCAGTATCAAGGCTATGATAAAGGCCAACGTAAGGGCAAGAGACGCTGCAAGGGTGAAGTCCGGTTCCAAGGTGAGAGGGGGGCTGAACTGAGAGTGAGGCTAGATTGAGGGAGGAATAGGGTCAGGCTCAAGGTCAGGATGAGGGTGAGAGGAAGAGTGAGGGCAAAGATAGCGGTCAGGGCAAAGACCAGGACCAGGTTTAGGGCAGGGTGAAAGGATCAGTATTATGGCCAAGGCCACGCCCAAGACAAAGGACAGTGCCAAAGAGAAAGTCAGTTGTAGGGGAGGAACAGCGAGGGTCAGTGCCAGGAAAAGCACTAATGGTAAGGAGGCCAGTTAGGGTCAGAGCTAGGGCCAGGATCAAGTTGAAGATCAATGGTAGGAAGAGGGTCTGGTCTGTTGAGGGTTTGGAACAGGGAAAAGCCAATGATAGAAATAGGGAGTGTCAGGGTCAGGGCCGGGAAGAAGTCCAATGGTAGGGAGTGGGATAGTGAGGTGGGGAGAGGGACAATGAGGCCTTGGGTTAAGGGAGAAGGCCAATGACAGGGAAAGGGACAATGGAGGCCGGGGTCAGGACTAGAGTGAATGGCAGTATAGAGGGTGGGCAAGAGTTGGAGCAGGGATAAGTTGATGGTCGCTGAGAAGCGGGGAGAGCTATTTGGGGAGGAATCCTTCCAAACGGAATAAGTCGGGCCAGCCGCCTGGAACTGAAGTCCGCGGCAGCAGTTCCGCTGGGTACGCAGCACTTAACTAACGGCCCGGAAGTGCAGACGGGCGGGCGACGCTGCGCGTGCAGGCCGGAAGTGCGGCTGGGGTGGGTGGGGCTTAGGTGAGCGGGGGACGGAAGCGGGGCGGTCGGGTCGCCGCCGGCGGCGCGGAGGAGGGCGGCGCGGAGGAGGGCGGCGCGGAGGAGGGCGGCGCGGAGGAGGGCGGCGCGGAGGAGGGCGGCGCGGAGGAGGGCGGCGCGGAGGAGGGCGGCGCGGAGGAGGGCGGCGCGGAGGAGGGCGGCGGCCGGTGCCCGGCGGGCGTGGCCGGGAGGTCCGGCGGCGGGGATGGTGACGCAGCTGGGGCGGCCGGAGCTGCTGCACGTCCTCTCCTTCCTGGAGGCGCGAGGCCTGCTGCGCGCCGCGCAGGTGAGCCAGGTACGGCGCGCTGAGCTGAGGCGGGAGCGGGACGCGCGCTCCCGAGGTTGACTCGGGGAGCGTTTTCCTTCCCGTTCCCGGCTTGCCCGAAATACCCTTCCAGAAGCTTTCTTCCTCCGGGGCTGTGCCTTACCCGCTCCCGGTGGTGCCCGGCACGCCCCTCTTCTCCCCAGGGCAGCTCCTCCGCCTGTGTGGTCTCCCGTGGCCCTCGCTGGTCCCCTGTCGTGGCACCCGTGCGCGTGCCCTCCGCGCACTGCCACCCCGCGTCCCCTCTCGGGGGCCGGCACAGCTGCAGTTTAGTGGGTCTCAGTTGATGCATTTGTGCCATGTCTGGTTTTCTCTGCTAGACGCATTCCTGCGAGGGAGCCTGTCTGTTTCATCGCTGCCTCTAGCACCCAGCGTATGCCCTGGCATTTAGTGTCCCCTCAATAAACGCTTGCTGAGTAAATGAATTTCTTAAAGGAACTTAAAATATACCGTTTAACTAAAGGGTTCACAAGCATCCTCATTTGAATGCCAACTTTTTTTTTTTTTGCTTTATTAGACTTTTTAGTTTCAGCCTTCAAATTAAAAACACGTTTGTTTATTTGCACACAAAAAAGGCATTAATACTGTTCATCCCACTCTTGTTAACTTTAGCCAGTCTTCTGGGCTGCATTTTGCTATTTTTCTTTTCAGTCTTCAAATCTTTAAACTTAGTGTAAGCTGTTGCTCATACAAACTCATCTGGTAACTTTAGTTTCTTGGATAGAGGGTTTGACAATGAAGCTGAACATTCTAGAGACTTCAAATATTTCAGTAGGTCATTACTTAATACTTTTGGCATGTAATCAGATATCAGACCATAGCAAACATAATCCTCTTCCTTGTCACTAGAAACCTGGTGATCAGAGAAAAACGCACCTGACTAATGCTGCCATAGCTGGATCAACGTTTTTTTACCTCCAGCCACTTTAATGTCTTCTCTTTGCTATACTTGTGATATTTTTTGTTGTCTATTTCTTTTTTCTCTGTTACATGGTAAAGTAACTTGTCAAGGTTTGGAAGTTTCAGGAACAAGATAAAATTTGGAAATACCTCATACACTATAACTTGATCTAGGGGCCGAAACTTTCCCTCTTTATCAGCCTGTATGAGGTAGTGGAAGAGCGGAAATAGAGGGTCCATAGAGGTGGCAAAGTGGAGAAGACCTCCTGATTGAACTGATTGAGTTGTAAACCAAGAATGGTGTTTTTCCTTGAAAACTGATGTTAAACAGCTGTGCTGTGGGAGACACAAATTTAACAAGTAAATGGCTCCTTCCCCTGAACATGGGTTACAAACAATTTCACAGACATAAGGCCACATTTAGTCTTTGAGGCAGCTGGTATTCTGGAACCAGGAACATGTGCTGCTGGATGTGACTCCCCTCCCCCACTAGTCCCAGCCTACCCTCCATAAATGGCAGGAGGAGGGTCTGATCTGGGTGGTGCAGCCCATGAAGGGTCTGGCAGAGCTGGGGAGGCACCTGTGGGACCAGCCCACACTTGTGTTCTTTGGTTGTTGTTGTTACTGGGTTTGAACTCAAGGGCTTTCATTTCCTAGGCAGGCACTCTACCACTTGAGCCACTCCACCAGCCCCAACACTTGTGTTCTGTTTTTAAATTTGCCAAGTCAAGGTTCTTTCAATTACCAGTGCAAGGCCCCAGCTGGGGAAGGAGTGGCAGAGGCTCTTACCTCTCCTCTGTGTTTCTCTGCCAATGGTAGGTGCTAGGTGTTCATTGTATGCCTTAGGACTCCAAGGCCCTAATTGTAATTTTAAGTATATCTAGTAAAACATTGGGTTATCACCTCCACTTTTACTGATGAGGAAACAGTATTACACAGTGGTTTGTCTAAGGTGACCCACGTTGTCACACACTGGGCAGTTTTCACAGAAGTAGTCTATGGGAAACTTAGGGGCAGAGTTTGAAAAGAGGTGCCTTCCACCCTTTGGTAGCACCAACATTTCATTGTCTTAGTTTACCATAGGTAAAATTAAGTCAGTAATCTCTACCTCGTGATGACATTGTGAAGGCTGGAGTCTAATAGATGGATCCTCAAAGGTGGATGGCATTTGTTTTGTAGGGCATATTACATATTATAATTCCCCATTGGGAAAATAAGATTTCAGTTGGGGTTTGAACTAGAAACTATAGAAAAGGAAATGCGCAGATCTTTGCTTTGTTTAATTTTGCAAAATAAAACCTTTACATTACTACTAGCCAAAAGATGGAAGTCATTTGGGCTCCAGAATCCAGGGTGGCAAGCTAGAGAGGTCAGGAAGCAGGCCTGGACCTGAGATAGGCGTGGTACCCTGACCCCCATTCCACGTGGGGACCATCCTGACTTGCAGAGGGAAGGTACTTTGGAGAAACAAGTTTGTAAGAGCAGGGCCCGCATAGTCTCCTTGCCTGGTAGTCTGTTCCCATTTTTACCACTTTGGCATCTCTGGGACATTTCCTTGGTCAGTGCCTTAATTTACTCCATTGATGCAACCCTCATCTAAAGTCTCCTCTGATCTCCTTTCCAGTCCTTCCTGCTCATAGCAGCCAGAGCCATCTTCCTAACATGGTTTGACCCTTTACTCCCCTGTTCAAAGTTCTCAAGTAGTTTCTCAGTTTTTTTCCATGAAGACTTCAGGAAGCTGGTCTCAGCCAAATGCCAGCTCCTTTTTCCATTTCATCCCCACCAGAACCTCATGTTCTAATTAAGGTAAATTACTCACCCATCTTTTCCACACTTGAATCATGTTTGGACAGCTGTTCTGTTTCTCCCTGCAATGCTTTGGTGGTTCTCTTAGAGAACAGCTACTCACCCTTTGAAACTTGATACATAGTTACTACTCTAGCCTCTGGCTCCCTACCCACCACCTCCTCGAGTCCCTCCTTACTCTCATTGTTTTTATGTCCAAATACATCTCCGATTCCCCAGAGTGCATTTTCTGGAATGCAGAGACAGGGTCTGCTTTAGCTCTTTGTCCCTTCCACAGGTTGGCAAGTGAGGTGCTATTGACTGACTCACTTCTTTCCTTCCTTTTATAGGTGTGGAATGAGGTTTCAAGGACCAAGGAACTGTGGAGGTGAGTGAAGAGCCAAAGCTGATCCTGCACAGGAGAGATGGAGGTGCTGAGTAAGCACTCTGAGCATTGTCTGCATTTCTGGCTCTGTTGAGTGTGTAGAAAGAATTATTCTAGGACCTCACCACCAGAAAACTTCTCTTTGCTTAGGGATATAGAATAGAATGTAGGATCGATATAAAGTATGCTTACCAACTCAGGGCCAGAAATATACAGTAAATGAATACAGGTGGCTGGCAGAAGACAAATCAGAAATATGACTATAGCTTTTTTTTGAGACAGGATCTCACTGTGTTCAGGATGGCCTTAAACTTGCTATATAGTCCAGGCTGGCTTCAAACTCACAATTCTGCTTTAGCCTCCTAGAGTGCTGAGATTACAGGCATGTAATCACATCTCAGTAATTGCACAAATTACTGTTTTGTTTTGTTTTTTTTTTCTGGTACTGGGGTTTGAACTCAGGCCCTACATCTTGCATCACTCTACCAGCTCTTTTTTTGTGATGGGTTTTTCCGAGATAGGGTCTCTCAAACTATTTGCCTGGGCTGACTTTGAACCAGGATCCTCCTGATCTCTGTCTCCTGAGTAGCTAGGATTACAGGCATGAGCCCCCAGTGCCTGGCTTCAGATTACTTTTAATTCAGCTTTGGTTTAATGACACAGCAATATAAGTATGCATGAAGGTGAAAATTGAAAACATTTTAATTATTAAATGTCTAAACTTTTCTTTCTATTCCATTTCTTCTTTGGAACCTAACTTCTTTTGTGCGAAAATATAACTATCAGAAGCTGGAAAAAGAAAAAAGAACTATCAGATTTCTTACCTCTTGCAGAATACAGTACAGCCTTGACTTTCAACTAGGAGTTTACTTAATTTTAGTCACTCATAATGAAAAACACTGTTCATGCATGATGGTTCTTCAGAACATGGAGGGAATTTTTGTTTCATTTTTAGGATCACTAAACCTTGAGATATTTGGGAATTTATTAAGGCCAATCTTACTTATTTAGTTTTTAGTATTATAAAACACTTTTCTATTTGTTGGGTTTTTTATTGCTAATATTAATTAGAAAAATAGTCTTGGGATTTTTATTTTGTTTTTGGGTTTTTTGAGGCAGGTTTTACTATGTAGCTCAGACTGCCTTAAACTCATGATCCTACTCCTTCCTGAGTTCTGGGATTACAAGGTATGTACACCATACCCAGTTTATAAATCTCTTTTCATGGCATACAATGTATAAAGATGTAATTTTTGACAAGAACAACACAAAGGAGGGAGGAAATAGACTCATGTAGGAGATGTTTTATATACTACTGAAATTAAAGGTTGTAGTAAAACTGGATTGTTGTAAATTAAGATTTAAATTGTAATCTCTAAGGCAACCACTATAAGCATGGTGGAACAAAGGTACGGTAGAAGAGCCAGGGTAGTTCATGCCTGTAATCCTAGCTACTCAGGAGGCAGAGATCAGGAGGATTGTGGTTTGAAGCTAGTCCCAGGCAAATAGTTCGAGAGACCTTATCTCGAAAAAAATTGACTGGTGGAGTGGCTCATGCAGCAAGAATACCTGCCTAGCAAGTATGAGCCCTGAGTTCAAACCCTAGTGCTGCGTTCTCATCTGCAAAATGGGGCTCCCACTTCCTACCTCAGAAGTTTTCCAAAATTAATAAATAAGATTATACAAGACAATGGGCATGGCTAAGACTAAGAACACAGTAAGGATCCAAGCAATTTCATCCTTGCTTTCCTCTCCCAGGGGCCAGCTCACCTCATGCAAATCCCAGGCACGCACAGTACAGTCAGTGGACACGGTGCAAACCACAGCCTTCTCCCTTCCATCAAACCGGTACTCATTGGTTGAGATGTAAGCCAGCTGATCTATCTGTCCTGTAACAGAACACAGACAGAAAGGGCCTGGGATGTGGACACTCTGCTTGGTGAAAAGGGTTGGCAGGAAAACCATTAATTACTCTTTTTCTGTCTCAAGAACATAGTATGTGCTTACTCAGGACACAACAAAGACAAGAGCTAGGCCTTCAGAGTTAGTTACAACTGGGTTCTACTCTCAGGACCGTCACCCACCCACCATGAGACCTCTGGTTTCTGTTTCTGTCTACTGTGAACTAACAGGGTTAGTTAGGGAGAGGAGGCAGGGATGCACAGGTACTGCACTTACCACTCAGTTTTCTGTAAGCCTAAAACTGCTCTTAAAAAGCCAGTTAACTTAAAGATTTAAGAGTCAATTCAAACTAAAGACAAAAAATGTGTATTTTAATACATATATGTAAATATATAATTATGTATTTGGTAGGACTAGGTTTCACTCAGGGCTTTGCACTTGCAGAATAGGTGCTGTATGGCTTGAGTCACACCTCTAGTTCATTTTGCTCTGGTTATTTTGGAGTTGGGGGTCTCCTGAACTATTTACCTGGACTGGCCTCGAACTGTGATCCTTTGGATCTCAGCTTCCCAAGTAGCTAGGATTACACATGTGAGCCACCTGCCCCAGGAAGGCAAACATTCTTATAAACATTTGGCACATCAGGTTATTTTTTGGTGGTACTTAGGTTTGAACTCAGGGCCTTATGCTTGCTAGGCAAGTGCTCTACCACTTGAGCCGCTGCACCAGCCCTTCCTATAAACATTTGAACAATGAATGTGTCTACAGTAAAACTGATAGCCGCTGCCTCTCCTTCCCAGTCCTTCAAATTAATGGTACAGTATTAAACATTTGATTTGCACCCTGCTTTATTATACAAATTAATTTAATAAGTGCTTGGTCACTTGAGAATATTTAATTTTAAAACTAAGATCATCTTGTATGCACTTGTGTAGGTTGCTTACCACTTTCCTGTATTGATGGACATTCCTTCTTGTGAACTCTTAGTCTCTAGGCAGGCACTCTTACCACTTGAGCCACTCCACCATCCCTCAGTCCTTATCTATATAGCATTGGTGTACCATAATCTGTTCGGGCCTCTCTCTGTTGAACATTTAGGAGTCTTGCCGCTTTTGTTATTATACAGGTGCACACACATACACCTGCTTTAAGCTCTGTAATGCTTATACATGCACACTTAGAGCTTTGGATATGTTTTGTTATATTTACTGACCATTTTGGGAGTGTGGGTGGGGGCTGGCTTCTGTGTCTATTCTTTGTCAGTGTGTACTTTCTAGAGGGAGTGATAACAGCAGACCCCTGTGCCTGGGGAGAGAATTACCTCCATTTCTCAGCAGAAGAAACGGAAGTTCAGGAAGACGAAGCAACTTACTCAGAGTCAGACCACCTAGTGTAGGCTCTGACCCCTACTGTTAGCAGCTGTACTCTGTGGTCAGCGAGAATTACTTGGGGTTTGCTGCTTAACTGGCAAAGACTTCGCAATAAAATTGAATTGAATTTATATGGTCATAATGTTTTCTTTTTTTGAGACAGGATCTTGCATGTAGCCCAGGCTGACTTTGAACTTACAATCCTCCTCCCTCAGCCTCCTGAGCGCTGGGATAGCAGGTGTGCTTCCCTATGCCTGGCTAAATTTTTTTTTTGTTTTATGACTTCTCTGTATTGGTTTAGAAGACCTTAGCCTCCTTTATCCCAATATGAAGCTCTTTTTTCCTATATTTTCTTATATTAAAATTTTATTTTTTGTTGTCAAATTGTGCAACCTTCTTCAGTGCTCACAGCACACAGGTAAGATAGCTGGACAATGGTTAGAGGCTGGAGTTCACTCTGGCACAGGTGCACTATTAGAGGTCCCCAGAGAAGTGTCTGCCATAAGTCCATTACCATGCTCTATTTATTATTACTATTATTATTATTTATGTCAGAAGGATAATGTGCCCACGTCGTAACAAGGTTTGAGGGTGGCACATGTCACACAGAGGTATGAACACTCAGTCATGTTTATGAATCAAATCTATTTTTTATTTTTGGTATTTATAAGAATTCCTTTTCCTGTGTGAATGGAAGCATAGGGATTTGATTAGTATCTTCAAAGCCGGTAGTCATCTGTTCCAGCATAACTATGGAACAAACCTTTACTGACTTAATGTCTTGTTTTATGTTTGTTTTCCATCTCCATTTGGGCCTGTATTTGAACTTTCTGTTTCGTTTATCTGAATGGCTGTTGTGCTTGCACTGGGTCAGTTTGAATACAATAGCTTTGTGAAAGTTTGAGTGTCTAGTAGGGTAGGTCGTCTTCACAATTGTTTTTTCAAATTTTCTTCACATGGCCAGATTTAATGGCGCACACCTCTAATTGCAGCTACTTTGGAGGCTGAGACTAGAGAATCACTTGAAGTTCAAATCTGGCCTGAGCCACATAGTGAGGTCTGTATCCCAAAAAGTAAAAATTTCTGCCATGTGCCGGTGGCTCATGCCTGTAATCCTAGCTACTCAGGAGCCAGAGATCAGGAGGATCACAGTTCAAAGCCAGTCAGGGCAAATAGTTCATGAGACCCTATCTTGAAAAAAAAAAAACATCACACACAAAAAAAAAGGGCTGGTGGGCTGAAGGTGTAGGCCCTGAGTTCAAACTATAGTAGCATAAAAAATAAAAATTTCTTTACATTCTTCTACATGAATTTTGGAACTTTTTTTTTTGAGCTCCTTTTCCATAATCTGAAATTAAAAAAAAAAAGTACAGAAATAACTGGTGAAATGCCTGTAATTCCAGCTACTTGGGAGGCAGAGATAGGACTGGGGTTCAAGATCAGGCTGGGCAAAAATTAGCAAGACCCCCATCTCAACAGTCAAGGCTGATGTAGCAAATCTGTAATCCCAGCTATGTGGGTGAAAGGTTGGAGGATCGAAGCCCAAGAGTGACTCAGTCATAAAGCCTGAGACCCTGTGTGAAAGATAAAGGAAAAAGGGCTGGGCTATGGCTCAAGTGGTAGAGTGCCTGCCTAGCAAGAGTGAGGCCCAGAGTTCAAAACCCAGTACTGCCTCCCCCCCTCCCCGCCGCCCCAAATAAATAATGTAGGTTTAAAGCATTGCTGAAAGAC